AAAAAAAAGCCACCATTCTCACTCTTTAATCATCAACGAACTAATTTTTCAGTTCAGCCTCTTCCCTTTTCTTTCTTTAATCCAACTACCCTAAACCTAACACTAAACACGACAAAAGTCGACCTCTTTTCGCTCTCTATAAAACTAATCTTCGCAAATACCAGCAAAAAAATTTCAGAAAGCTACATGTTGTCCAGCATATTGACTTCCTCCTGCCCATTATACTAGCTTCGAACCTGAGTTTTAGTTTAAAGCCTGGTAATTTATGCTTGCTAGCGACGTCTGCATTGAGTACTTGACCAACACCACAAAGGACTTTCATACAGCAAAGAGTGAAACTGCCCACCTATCTTATTTTGAAATCAAAATTCAAACGGTACTAGAATAATAGCGGTGACGAGGTCGAAATTAAGGAACCACAAAAACAGTGAAAAAACTTGTGAAGCAATTTCCCATTCCGAAATGTTAATTATCCCGCACAAACTACGTAAGCCAACAAACAATAAAAAGCAATCCTTTTCCCTTTTCTTTTTCAGATCAGTAATTCTGAAAGCACATCAACCCCGTGTGAGACTCCCCGCTGTGACGTACGGTTACCACAACTAATAAAAATCATAACAGTGACTAACAATCCCAAAAAATGAGATTGGTAAATTTCCGCCTAGAACACTTTATCTACGCCAATAAAACTGTCACAACGTGTTGTTCACCTCGCAACAAATCGATTCTGCTGGTGAAAACGAGTAAGCGGTTAAATCGCTGCCAATCCACTTCTTTTATAGCTCAGCAATTCAGTGCTTTTTTGTAACAAGAAATTTCAGAGTGCTTTACAATGCGTTGGTAAACTCACGATGGATGACTGCATCAATCATTAGTTTAGCGGTATTTTTGGAACTTTATTTTGAGCGGAGAGCTAACAGAACCGTAAATTGAAACTCAATAAAACACATCTTTGAGAAACAAACCATATATTTGGGAGATAAAATGAAATTTAGCGTTTGCACGGCAGTCAACCCCAAAGAACATTGCATGTTTGGGCTCTTAAATCAATGACAAGGGATACCGAACGTCAACATTTTTTACAGTACTCTAACTAATTAATCATTCTCAAATAAAAAGTTTCACGACTAACTAGGTGCAGGAAATATCTGCTACATAAAAACAAGTTTACTTCCTACTGGTTGTAAAATTAAGGATCAACATTATCTACTGTGGTTCATTGTGACTAAATAGCTTTTCTAAAACTCCACCGTTTACACAAAATTAAATACCAAATCTAATCTAAAGTACTCCGTCACCACACGTCCTTTAGTCCGGTCTCAGAAACAGAAAAGGAAAAAAAAGATTAAACCTAATAAGTGTAGAGTATAAACGATGTTGCATAGAAAGCGTACAATGGCCATAGTGGCCATTCTTCAATGCTTTTTTTTTCACTTCTAGCTGTAATCATTGAAGTAAAAAATATACATAAATTGCCATGTCGTCTGCGATTAGGTTTCAAAAAAAAACAATTTTAGCAACCAAAACAATATGCAATAAATGTATGATCCCTTTGTTTATTCAAGGTAACGATGAAATCTAAATGATCGTTCTGTTGAAAAGACTGATTTAAAAAGTTGACGATATCCAGACAATTTAAATATTGCAAGGCTTGCTGCTGGTTATATTAAAAATGTCTGAATTGGAAGAGCTAAATATAATCGATGTGCATTTGTACGCTATATGATCAAAGGAAAAGAAAAATGAAATTGTTTTTCGCGCTAAATTTATCAGCTTTTTTTCCATCAGAAATTGGTCATTGTGGTAGAAGCAGCTTCAAAGCATTTTTTCAGGGCAAAAATAAGAGTTTACGTAAGTTATTAGACGGAAAATTCCAAAAAACACCATTAAATTTAGAAAGTAAACGACCTCATTCTTTTACCAAACCTACCATTAACACTAAACAATGCAATACTTTCCCACAACATCACTACGCTAAACTGAAGATTATTAACAAAGCAAACGTAGTAGAGAAAAGAAAAGAAAAAAGTAGAAAAATGTGTTGGTATGTTGGTAGGTTAGGCGAAGCACTTCAGATTTGTTAAGAAAAAAAATACCTTTTTTTTCACTTGCACTTGCAACTTCAGCCAAATACCGGTAATAATCACCTTCCATTTTTAAGTAAAACACCTGTGATTCATAACCGCCGGCCGTCGGTATAAGATAACGATCAATTAACTCCTACAAATCCCTGTCAACTGTACAGTTTGCTGAACAATTATATGATTTTCTTGGGACTGAGTAATATATCTAATGAAGCCGAAATAATGAACAAAAACTTCAAAAGCTACAATGTATGAATTACTTTGAAAACCACATACTGTCTCAGAGAATCTAATCTTAAAAACTAATATCATAGCTGGCACAGAAGTCTAAAGCAATATGACATACAAGCACTTCATTACATATAGTCGACAATTCCTTTTCGATTTGTTCACGGTAGTCTTTCACCAAGGGCAGCATCTTTTCTGAGATATCTTCCTTTCTCTCAATGGAAGAAATAACACGCCACGAAGAACGCCTTGCACCGACGACATTCTGAACAGTATAAGCAATAAAAGAGAAAAGTAAAAAAATATGTAAGTTTATTTCTTATTGTGAGACGGCTATTAGTAAAGAATTCTAATATCATGCAGCTAAACTTCAAAAAGAGTACATACTTTATAAGCAACTGATAAAAGATTCCTTTCGTCACTGCCAAGCTGATCGCCCTTTTCTGTTAAAGTTTTCATGGCAGTCACCATATCATCATATCTTTCCGACTGAAAAAAGCAATAAAGAAGTTGGGAAAAGTACACTAACATTGCTTAGAAAGTAGTTTTTCCGAGCCCAAAATGAAAGATTTTAACCTGTTCAGCCAATTTTGCGCGTTGTAAAAGTTCCTCCTTCTCAGTCATGATGCTTCCAGCGCCGGAATGTCAACAACTTGGTACCACCTAACAAAACTAAATAAAGACATATTTTTATCTCAAGTTTTGATTTAAAAAAAAAAGAAATCAAACATTCACCGATTCAGCTTCCATCACAAGTTTTCAACGAACATATTTCGAAAAATACATGGAAAGAGTTATAGCATACAAAAAAGCCTCTAAACAATACCAAACAACTCGTCCTGAAAGATTAACCATTATACACAGCTACACTAGCCTACCCCTAATCATTTGTCTGCTAGCCATTCTAAATCTGCGTTTAACGAGCGATATACGGCACCTACTAGCAAAGAGAAAATAAACAAAGAGTTCTGCAACTGTACTGGCACAACCATCTATCTCATTTTATAGCATAAAACATTAAACCTACTAAGCGTGACCATGCAACTGCTGTAGTTCTTAAAAAGAATAGATTCAAGGAACTAAGAAGTTGCTTTTAATGTCCCAAGTTTTTACACACACTGTCTTAATATTTACACGATACAGTTCTGTATTAATTGCTAATAATGAACGCCGAATCATTATAACAATCATTATAACTTCTCAATCATTTCATAAAAATAAAAATAATTACTTTGGAACCTACATTACGCGTAAAATGTAAAAATCAGAAATATCAAATGAATTCGGACAGGATAAAAAGTGTTTTTAAATCTTACTTCAAACGATAATGGTAACCAGAAACCGCACTGCACAACAACATCAACAGGCAGAAAGAAACAGAGATAATTACGACTGCCGAGAAGCAAACTGACAAACTCAAAATCCTCAGCCAAACTTTTAAATAATGTTCAAAGTGCAATCAGCTGGGAATTTCGTTGCACTAACTGTATAAATGGAACAGTGAACTACGATGGAGGGTCTTAATATATACCGCTAAACGCATGAGATATTCTGACCGCAGAACTTTACGAAAGTCCAAACCTTTCAAATATATTTTGAATTTTTTTTCGGCTGCCCATCACAGGATTTCATTAATCATTCTAACTCTGCTTTTAACAATGCTCCTGCAGTCAGACGCTGAGAGTAACGCATCCTTCGACCTGCGTCATCTAAACAGTCGATGCGTTAGCGTCGACTGGCTCAACGGCTGCAGGGCTGTGTCGCAGTTTCAGGATAATGCGTAGGAGCTCCTTGTCTCTATAGTTAAAGGTGCCATTTCTTGCTATTTGGTTACATCAGTTCTGGAAGTTAACAGTCGACTGCTAGGGAGCTTAATTTCCCATCTGACCTCTTAAGTTCTGAAGTAGAGTGCTCTTGCAAATAATTCTTTCACATGCTACATTCAGTCACTTTCGTTTCGCACTAGTTGTTTTACACTTTGGCCGTGGCAGCATGAAGTAGATGTATGTTAATTTCGGCTAGTTGTTCTATCAGTACAGCTAAGTTGCAACAGTGTTTTCACTTTAGAGTTGAGAACAGAAGAAAGTATGAATATAAGAATTAAGTTTATGATATGTGCCAGCTACTGTTTCAACAAAGCTATGGTATGCGTTGGATGCGGTTAAGCATAATTAGAAAAAAACTTGGCGCAATCCCTTCTAAGTCACTTATATCTTTGTCTCTTTCTGTAAAAAACTGATCAAAAAGTATTGTCATCTACCGTTTGTTTCAGAAACATAGAGTTGTGATTTGTACTTGGTGTAAACAGGGCTTTTCATTTTTGCTGTCAGAAACACGATCCAAGGCGTTATCAACAACATATTTTAGTCGAACTGCAAGTCTGCAACGTAATTTATTGAGCTAACGAAGTTTTAATCACTGTTGAAAACTTTTCAAAAGTGTCTAGGATGTCATTTGGAATTTTTTTGAAAGTTTTGACCATTATCTAACCAAATAGCTTTATGCAAATACAGTGCTGAATTGGAATATAACAAGAGAATGGAGCAGTGGCTGTCGCGCTATCATTTCTGCACCTAAACCGAACACATAACGGCAATTACTTCGTATATACACCGGCACTGTTATGTGAAGGATTAAGCTGAACAAATTATCTGATCAAAATATTCCCGTGTAACCAATCAGTTCAAAAGACACAAAAAAAGGCTGCAAACAACCACACAGCCGTAATGTTAAATAAAAATACATTTTTTTAACGGTTGTACAAGTCATAAGGGTTAGTAAATCTAAAGTAGAATCAAAAGTCCACAAGCAAAGAATAACGGCAATGACACATTAAGAAAGAAGTGGAAAAAAGATATATTCAACAGCTCATATCGATCATTCAATGACTGTTGGAGTTCCTCGATGGTTCGTAAGTAAGGTCAATCTAGACTGGAAACCCTGAATTAGTTGTATTGTAGGATGTTGGAGTAATCACTTAAACGGTAAAACAAGCAGGGACTGGATGGAGTACGTATGCTGCGGATCAAGAAGATTCTATTTGTGAAAAAAGACGGTTAACCCGGAATCGGAGACTTCGAAAGCATACGGAATTAGAACACTGAAGGCACACCTTGGTGAAGCAAACTGTACAGCGAAACTGAAAGTGATACCAATTTGTTATTTTTGCTTTCAAATGTTTTCGTGAAGGAAGCTACTGGATAAACGGTTTGGTTGCTCACTAAACTAACTTACGAGGGCAAGGCTGAACACTGTTCTACAAACTTGACATCTATTTGAATTTTCGCAGAAAACGACAAAATGCTTCGGATATGGCCGCCTGTAAAAAGCTTAGAGAGAGAGAGATTAAGGTGAGTTTCGACTGGTAAAACTGGTAACGAAAGAGGAAAAAAAGGAAAGACGTACGACACTATTTCGCGACAAACAATCCGTCCAACAGCAAACTGTTTGAGTTCATCGTCTATCAAAAAATTGTGCCTTTTTATCTTCAGCAACTGCTTGAGCAAAAACTTCTTGAACTCGCTTCTAAACAGCTTTTCAAAGTTATGACGTGCAAGTGACAACAATAGTGAGAGAAAAGTGGGTTGACATCAAGTAAGAAACGTGAACCCGGAGCAGTCATCCAGTCGCTTACCGGAAATTGAACAAGCAGCATGCGATCAACATCTTCATTAACGCATTTGCGGATAGCCTGCTGAAGTGGCACTGCAGAATAAACTCTTCGCAACCACACTTCAAGCCATCAACTAAAAATTTGTCCGCTAATCGAGCCAAGACTGGGAAGGTTGTTTCTGCAAAACTTCATCCCTGTAGGGAAATGAAGGTACAAAGGCAACTTGAGAACAGGTCATACCATTACTGCCGGACAAACTTACCATTCACAGTTTCAGGATAAACTCCATAATAAGTAGGACAAACTGCCTCTAAAAAAGTTTCAATATCTTCGGGATTTTCGTCCTTTAAACACGCCTTTAAGTTCCGCTTTTCAACAAAATTCTCATCTAGCGTCATTACCTCAAAAACTGGTGAAGCCTGCAATGAGATAACATATTATCCGAGATTTTTCTTCTCACATAGTAAAACAAGTAGATATTCCTTATCAAATTTAGCGACATTACCTCAAAAAACAGTCAACTTTCTTTGCCTGTCGTGGATCAGTGAACTATATCAAAATGAACTAACAGTGAAAACTGAAGAACACAGAGGAAACGAAAGGAAAGTATACCTGTGAAAGAACATGTGGATTGACGAAGAAAGTGACATTACCGACTTGAAGGGGATACTGTCTGAAGAAGGACTTTTGACGGAAGTCAACCTAGATCAAGCAAGGAAGAAGTTCAAAAGTTTATTAAAGCATTTGAAAAGCATTACATCCACCAAAAGTCATTACTCTTCTCAGATATCTCTTCAAAAAAGTACATTTGACACTATTAAGAAATCATTTAAACAATCATCATTTTTATACAAACAAATTTCGGTACAAAGGAAGAAGCTGCACTAGAAATGGATATTCTCAAGCCTCTTAATCCACTTCGTATTCACGATTGTGATTTCATTATATAACTATCTTCCAGTGTCCATGAAATCATTTCATTCCATTTCAAATTATTACTTTGCCGTTATTGAGTAATTTCTCTGAATACATGATTGTGGATTAGTGTTGTTAGCCGTTTCTTGTAACGTTTTCAGTCAGTACTTTTCCTGCAAGAACCAGATCATTCATATGCAATGGTTAAGGGTAACTGAATTATACGCCAGAAATTGCACACCAACAATTAACGTATTCCATTCGTTGTTCTGAAGCATCAGTTTGGAGTGGGTGTGCTACTGTAATAAATCTTTATTGGGATTGTTATCGCCAAAATCACGTAACCAACAAATGTGACAAAATGTCCCAAAATAGCTAATGACGACTACATTCTTCACTTCATTTATGAGGTATTCTTAAAAATGATGCTACTGATGCACATATCTGTTTCCTTTAACCGTGACCCTAAACTTTATGGATTTGGAATGCAGAACAGGCTAATGGAACAATAAAAAAACACCCACTTTTTAACAATATCATTGCGTTCCCATAACTATTCGGTCATTCCTTCTTGTAAATTGCGTAAATAAATTGGTACTTACGGTGAACAAACAGTAATACATAAAAAATCACAGAGGAACAGTCAGAAATTGTAACAAAAAATTTTTTTTTTTGGTTCAGCAGATGTGGAATATCTTTCTGCATTTTCTTATCTGTCTTCTTCCTGTACCTTACCCTCTATACTGTATCCTCTTACTACGTTTTATCTTCGAGATTTAGAGAACACTAAATTAAATCGAAGTCACAACAGAGCCTTTGAAAAACAATTACAAGAGTGATAAGACACGCCTTACATCGTTATAAAGGAAAACAATATACTTACATAATAAAAATATGAAGGTTCGGAATTTTGCTAATGGTAGTAGTAGAGGTAAAAGCGATGGAGGTAAAATCTATAGTAATAGTAATAACAATAATAATAATAACAAT